CTTTGAACACATTTTATGTGTCTACTACAATTATTATAGGACATTGACATTTAAATAGGACAACCCAAAGCTGTATAGTTTAGAACATTTTCAAACATATCATGTCTTTAAATCAATATACACCTTTTATAAGTGTCACTTTCCTGACAAATTTGGCAGGAATTGGGCATAATACACCAGATTACCCATGTACTTCACACTGTGTAATATCTCTGGGAAAAATCTGCCTTTCTCAATACTCCCATTGGGTGATACTGATATCACACACCATAACAAACATGTGTTTTTCCTCACGTTATCAAACATACATCTTCTTCCCAACCCAGCCTCCCGAATTCTTCCCAACTTTTTAAAGACAAAAGTCGAGAAAGAGAGGATTACATTGATGCCACATCTGTTTGACAAATGTTCGCGGTGTCGTCGGCCGTCGCTGGGATTTTTTGCGTAAGCGGAGACCCAACGACCGCTAGGACAAGCCGGTGGTAGACTATGTTTAGGTCCTGTCGTTGTCTTGCATTGAACTTGGCCCGGCGGGTGGCCCATTAGCGGAAACTGTGGTGGAATCTATACAGGTTTCTACGGATGTGGGCCTTATGTGCATGTGGGACAACTACACTGTAGTCTAGATCTGACAAAAAAGTTTCCTGCATTTAGTGTACTGTATATTTTCATTGTTAACAGGGAAAACCATTCATTTTACATTTTACAATTCAAATTGAAATCCTAAAACCTATAGGCTTAGTTAGAGGCTTACCTATCAAACAATCTGCACTGTCTTGAAATTAAAAGTTTGGAAAAGACATCTTATCAGAAACAGAAAGGGGGAACATTTTTATGGCAATAGAATAGCAATTTTGAGGAATAAAATTTATATAATTCTGAGTTATTTCAATTATTGCATTCAAATTTATAAAAATGCAATTATATTAAAGTTTGAAACAACTATTGTGGAAAACTTATTGATACATGAACTGGATGTACCTAACCTGCAATTCTGTACACTAAAATGAAAGCCTGTACTGCCTATTGCTGCAGAGAGTTTCGTTGTAATTTAGCTTACATGTACCCTCTGGAGTAGGCCTACATCAATAGGTAATTAGTCTGTCCTTCAAAATACTTATTAAATTCACACAACAACGATAACAAGAGTCTTAGAAATACAAAGCTAGCAAATAGCAAACATGCACTGAAATTATGTGCAATATATCCCTTTTTTGAACATTTTCTCTTCCTTCTGTTTTCTTCATTTTCTATTCAATCCACCACAAGTACATCATTTCATCCCTATTTTCACGAAGTGACGGTAGTGAGGAAAATCGTCATGCAAAGTGAATGCAATTTTTTTTTACTACCGTCACTTCGTGAAAACAGCGACAATATTTTGTCTATATATGCAATACAATATTGGGAAGATGTTATTCCTGGTGTACATAACTAATGGGACTACTTTCAAATTCAACTTAAATGCTGTACAACATCTTAATGATTGATTCACACGTCAATAACAGAAAAATTATAATTTGTTAAACCGTTTGACTCTATGACTAATACCACAAAGTAGTTTAAAAATACTAGATTTCAATCACAATTGAAGTAAGCACATGTATATGTACATGTACTTACAATTACAGACATCTATAACATTTTGTGGTGTGTAAGGTAATTTCAATGGTTCTAGTCCATTGGACATGGCAATTGGCAAGGAGTATTTTCATGTCAATAAATTCAATTGGAGAGAATGCCTTCTCCTCATGAAAAAATCTCTGCAGTTTCACTTTGGATAGTTTACAAATTACTGGTTGAATTGAATTCACCTTGAGTTTGGGAATAGAGCTGTTGATTGGGGCTCAATTTTCACCTGTATAAGATAACCATAACGACAGCGAGTATTTCCAGATTCAAATTCAATTACACTTCATCAGGAAATAACATTGAAATCTAGGATTTCGTGCTCCAGATAGAATCAGGTAGTTCTAGTTCAAGGTAATCTTATTCTCCTAACTTTTAGTTATTTGTTTGTACTTTACTATAATTTTCTCTCACGGTCTCTTTTTCACTCTCTCTCTCTCTCTCTCTCTCTCTCTCTCTCTCTCTCTCTTATTTTCCCTCATTCCTTCTTTGTTTCTGATTCATAATCTGTTACAATTCTATCTTTCTTTGTCTCTTCCCTCTTTTTTAAATATTTAGTGTGGATTCTCTCTTCTCTCCCTCCCTCCCTTCTCTCTCTCTCTCTCTTTTTCTTCTCATCTCTTTTCTCCTCTCTCTTCTCTCTATTCCTCGGTTCTTGGCTGTGCATACCGGTAGTACATTTACAAAGTACAGTGTACATCAAACTGGCTGGCGGGCCTATCCATAATATTAAAATTAATGCCCCTTTGACAAGTATTTATAAACACCCTTCCCATCAAAACCATCACACATTAACCATTTCTCAAACCATCTACGGACCGCGAATATTTTTTTTACACGCTAGCCTGGCCAGTTTCGCCGTAATACTCGTAAAAGTGCGCTGGTGGTAAAGCCTACATGTAGGCATGCACTACCGCAGTTTAACTTGGTTGCTCTCTAGCTGAACGTTCGTTCGTTCGTGTCTCCTTAGATCAAGATTAATGTAAAGTTCCTAAATTAAATTAAAATAAATTAAGTTTTTGAATTCCATCGCCCGATGGCTGCGGTGGTCGTCTCATTTACAAGGGCCAGCTATGTCTTTATCTGATGATTGTCATGCATGATGTACATGTGTATCATCATGCACCTCGCATGTAGGCTGCTAGACTAATATTAGTCGTTTCCATGGTGTTTCTCATAGAAATGGCCAGGCTAGCGTGTAAAAAAAAATTGCGCCTACGGACCACCAACCTCTCAAATTGGCAACGCCATTTCCATGCATATTGTGAGGTCACCAAGGTCAGAAATCAACAAATTCCATGACCAATGACTCTCAATAATGCAACCCATCAAAACAGTGATTCTTTTCCAAAACGCAAAACCACGAAATTGAGTGAATAATGCGGGATCACGCTTTGGGGGTGATTTACAAATTCTGGCTCGGTAGGAAAGGTGTATGTAATAGGATTCTTGTCTAGACGTGGAAAGACTTATTGTTCTGCAATGTTTGTTTTTTTGTATTGCCAAATGAAATTGTGAATATAATTACAGTATGTAACTTTAGGATATCAACACTTTTCTTTTAGTAAATTCACAGCTTTTCATCTCATTCCATTCAATAAAATGAATCTATCAAGAATATTATTCATCTATACTACAAAAGTATTGAGTTTGTCTGCAGAATTAGGATGGAAATATGAACAAAATGTGAATATTATTGTAGGTCTACTTGTATTAGGACTTATATACAGGCCTAAAATTTCAAAAACTGCATAGTACATTTTGATTTTATTACAAAAATATTTCACATCATATTCATTATTAATAAATGGGTAAAAAACTATGAAAAATTGAACACTTGAAAACATTGTACAAGTGAAAGATGGGAACATTAATTATTATAAAAGTCAAAAAAATAAGAAAACTTTATAACATTATTTTTACAATAAGATTAAGAACCTGAACTGTCTGAAACCAGGGAGATGTGAGAATAACATGGAAGAAGAAAAAATGTACATTGAGAAATGTTTTGCAGTAATCTGAAAGCATGATAACCAAAATAACCTCTAAAAGAGAATTTCTGGTAAAGAGAATACAAGCCTGATTGTGTTTTGACCGATTATCACGACTATCTCGGGACCTCATTAAATTCTGGGGAAATACAACAGCCTCCCTGAACAGCTAGCTCCCCTAGAAAGGCCTTCATTATTGGCCCAATACCGTAACAATCCGCATTGTTTCCAAGCCCTATTAGCATAGTATCATTCCCAACAGAAGCTGCTCTATAATACCCTTTTCCATCGCCTTTTTTTATCGAACAAAACAGCCTTTGGAATTGGTTTTAGAGCGGAGAGAAGGTGCGAAGAGAGTGAGGAAACAAAAAAAATCGAACCGCATTAGCCGGGTTAGGGCCGTCGGGGTTCGGGCGGGGTCAGCGATGCGAGTAACTCGCAGGCAATTTCAGCGGCTTGTGGGCTAGGCAGCTGTGTCGTGTTTCGACCACTGCAAAATGGTGCGTTGCGAGCCGTAAAAAAACAGTAATGAACTCGTCATATAAGTCGCTATAATAGGGGCTTTTTTCAAGAGGCTTTGGCAGACTATACATGAATTGTAAGTGAAGATTAGTTAGAATAACAATGGGGGATCTAAACTCTTGCATTTCAATGAGTAATAGAGCTGTCGACAGCATAAAGAGATGGGGGTCTTGGGCACTAAATCGTCGGCTCCTGACATCACAAATCCGCGGCTGAGCTGAGCCATGTGGTCGTAAAAAGATAATGCTTTCGGAAGCAATACAAAGATTTGGCATTTCCGATTGTCGTAAAGTTGTATAAAAGTATGGCTTTCGTAAAGTTATAAAATGAAGACAAGCCATCATTTATGGTTTCATAAGTTGTGTCAGTTAGTTGGTATGCGGATGGAAAATTAATAATCCAATGCAATTATCACTTTTCCGCCGTCTTTTTTATAAATAATATTGGCCTAAATCACAACTAATATAAATCCTAATCATATTCTAATACAAAATAATTACAGAACAAACATGTACATTAAGCACATTAAAAATAGAAAACTATAATGTATAGAAAGTTTTAAATAGACCCAGAAAATTGTCAAACTACAATTTCTACTTCTGCAACTTTTGACAGCTGGAGATAACTCTTTTACAGTTACGCAATAAAAGTGAATGAAACTGCAATTACTGAATTCGGCGAATAATATAAAATACACCTGTTTAATAGTGTTACAACAAATCAAAACTAACAGGGGAAACCGTCTAGAAAATAATCTACAACTTTGTTTCATGATCATTGTACAATTTTACACGACAATATTTACAAGTATAACAAATGAAAGTTGTGAGGAGTGATAAATAGTGAATTTTGACTTACTTTGAGTTGTTTTTGTCCCAAGCAATCGGCTGCAGTGTTTTCGCCAGTGTGACGCTCCACAGAAGAAGAACAGCGTTCACAAAAAATATGATTCCTGATTTTGCCTTGGGCAAAGCCATCGGACTTGGCCAGAAAAATTTAGTCCTGGAAAGATGAGACATAGTTTTCCTCAAAAGTCGGCAAAGTGATGCGTGATGGAAGCTCCAGGGTCAAAGTGCTCAGGTATAAAAACTCCAAGTCATGCGTGCAATCACTTTCAAGTTGTTCACAGGTGAATTTTCAGAAATTCTACCAAGCGCGATATCGATGTTGCTGTCGTCTGCGCGAGTTACTGGTAGCTACGTTGTAAAGATGCGGTATATTGACTACCAGCCCGCCAACAGCGCTGGCGTGGATAACCCCTCAGTGGCGCTTCAAAGCACCCGTCGATTAAACAAGGTGTTCAAATCACCTTTTCTGCGAGAAAATGTATCTCCAAATGCCCAGTTGGGAGGTCCGTGATTTGAAGTCAATGTGCAAAATATCCACAAGGTGTAACTGTGTGAAGATGTGGTATTTCCTTTAAATGTTGTCAGAAATGGTAGTTTGAGTTAGCCGCCGGTGCGTTCAATCCGGCTACATATCATGATGATACTACTCAAGTGTATGGGGTACATAGGATGCTGTACATAAGCGTATGAGTAACCAACGAACTTTTCCAGGCGATCGGGCCGCTTGCTCAGTCGCCATGCAGCGAGATTTCGTCACGGGCGCGAGAGCGAGATGGAGCAACTTGTCTCATGAATAATTCATCAGGTTTACGGTTGAGTGGGTTGGGCTTCGAAGAAATTCTCGCATCTTTGATTCGTCACCGTCCCGAAGGTGGGCGGGGTCTAGATACTAAATATTGGTTGATGCAGAGGGCGCATGACCAAAATAGATGTTGTGGAAAAGATTCAATGTTTCGTTCATAGTAGTTTTGCAACAATTTATTACCAAACATTTCAAAAAGGATACATTAACAAAAAACAATTTTATTCGAAATTGTTCACCGTACTTTAAATAGATTGAGAACAGAGAGAATATTACAGTATATCCACCTAACACTCGACTTGATGAAATGAAATGAAATGAAATAATAGATTTATTAATGAAAACTTGAATTACTTGAAATAATTTGTGTATCGCCGCTAAGCGCATATTTGAATTCTATACTGTAATTTTTTCATCTCATTTCAGGTATCCGGGGAGTGGTGATAGACCAATTTAAAAATGTAACGACGCAATAATCTGAACTAAACTTGAAATTTAGATATTTAATGAAATTGAAAATCATTCATTTGCATGCAGTTAACAATTTATTTATTCATATCCCTTGTATTTTTTATGTTGTGGAAGGGGGATTCGGTTTGTCTGTATTTCGAGAATGAAACATGGACTGGCCTTTACTGAACACTTTAAGATGTCAGCGTTAATATGTCACATCCTCAAGTATCATAAATCGGGACAAATCATTTTTTCACATGCTTAAAAACAATATAAGATAGAAAGAATATAAAGGAGGCACTTTCTTTTTTGTCCAATTTTTCAGGAAACATTTTACCCCGACTCAGCCAGCCGGTAAATAAGCGGGGGGGGGGGGGGACGGGGTGGGTAAGACCACTTTTTTTTTTTTTTTTTTTGGCCTTCTTCGTGAGATTTTTTTTTTTTTTTTTTAATAATAATAATAAAAAATATTTTAAAAAATTAAAAAAAAAAAAATTGCTGTTGTTGACCCGTCAGCCCCCCTCCCCCGTGGATTCGCGCCTGCAGAGGATCCAGCCGGCGACAAGGGGGGGGGGGGGAGTCAAATCTTAATACAAAATTTAGCGTCGACTCAGCCGGCAGGCGAATAAGTCGGGGGGGGGGGAGCACCTTTCTTCTTTCCCTTTTTTGATCGAGTTTTGGAGGAAAAATTTAGCGCCGACTCAGCCGGTCAATTATTATTATTTATTTATTTTTATTTTTTTATTATTATTTTTTTTTTATTTATTTATTTTTTTTGGGGGGGGGGGGGCGCTTTTGTTTTGTGTTTTAAAAAAGGTTAAATTTACGTTATTATCCTATTTTTATCGTTTTGGGGGGCTGGGGGGGGGGCCGGGCTGGAAAAATCGCTACGTGGATCCGCCCCTGATAGAAAGAATGCGAAAAATGGAAAGAAAATTAGATGTTTGACACAGTTCTGAAATTGATCACTTTGGTCACTTTTTACCCCCATGGGCTACGGTTGCAAGCTTGTACTCTTTTTGATGCGTCCGGCTTTTACGCCAGGCATACAAGTTGTATAACGTTGTATCTTAAAACGAACTTCAAGGAGTCCCCCCCCCCCCCCTCCCCCAACAAAGAAAAAAATATATAATAATTTTGGTCTTTAGTTTTTTTTTTTCTGCGTTTTCTGCGTTTTCAAAATAGAACATAATCATATGCATAAAGTAACAAATTTTTTTTCATTTTACATAACTATAAATGTTTAAGTGCATTAAATAAGATGCATACAAACACAAATATTTTTCAATGAAAAGTGAAGTGTTAATGTAGTGAGGCGATAATTTTCACGGCGAGATACTGAATTCTTTGTAATGTTTTATATGTAATTCTTTGAAAGGGATAAACGTTTTTCCTCAGTAATAAATAAAACTCCCCCCCCCCCCAATGTTTTATTCATCATATTTCCAGGAGGAAATATATAGGATCTGCATATCATTTAACCCTTGTGTTCCTATTCACTCTTTCGTAATTTAGGGTGGGGAGTCAATTTGAAGATCACGTTAGTCCATGGAAAACGTGCACTATAGTGGGGTACATGTTTAAGGGGGTCAATGTCGCTATTCATAAGGACCGCTATTCATAAGGTCCGCTATTCACAAGGTCCATTATTCATAAGGACCGCTATTCATAAGGTCCGCTTTTCATAATTGGAGAAAAAGGGTCATTATTCATAAGGGTCATTATTCATAAGGACCGCTATTCATAATCAAAGAAGAGGGTCGGTATTCATAATATTAGAAGAGGGTCGCTATTCAAAATACGAAATCGGGGTCGTTATTCATAAGGGTCCCTATTCATAATATTACAAAAGGGTCGGTATTCATGACACAGAAAGAGGGTCGCTATTCATAATACGAAATGAGGGTCGCTATTCATAATACGAAATGAGGGTCGCTATTCATAATGCAAAATGAGGGTCGTTATTCATAAGGGTTATTATTCATAAGGGTCATTATTCATAATAAAAAATGAGGGTCGCTATTCATAAAAGGAGAAGAGGGTCGCTATTCATAATAAGAGAAGAGGGTGGCTATTCATAATAGAAGAAGAGGGTCGCTATTCATAATAGAAAAAGAGGGTCGCTATTCATAATAGGAGTAGAGGGTCGCTATTCATAATAAGAAATGAGGGTCGCTATTCATAATAGGAGAAGAGGGTCGCTATTAATAATAGAAGAAGGGGGTCGCTGTTCATAATAGAAGAAGGGGTCGCTATTCATAATAGGAGTAGAGGGTCGCTATTCATAATAAGAAATGAGGGTCGCTATTCATAATAGGAGTAGAGGGTCGCTATTCATAATAAGAAATGAGGGTCGCTATTCATAATAGGAGAAGAGGGTCGCTATTCATAAAAGGAGAAGAGGGTCGCTATTCATAATAGAAGAAGAGGGTCGCTATTCATAATAGGAGTAGAAGGTTGCTGTTCATAATTCGAAATGAGGGTCGCTATTCATAATACGAAATGAGGGTCGCTATTCATAATAAGAGCAGGGGGTCGCTATTCATAATAGGAGAAGAGAGTCGCTATTCATAAAAGGAGAAGAGGGTCGCTATTCATAATAGAAGAAGAGGGTCGCTATTCATAATAGGAGTAGAAGGTTGCTATTCATAATACGAAATGAGGGTCGCTATTCATAATAGGAGCAGGGGGTCGCTATTCATAATAGGAGAAGAGGGTCGCTATTCATAATAGGAGCAGGGGGTCGCTATTCATAATAGGAGAAGAGGGTCGCTATTCATAATAGGAGTAGGGGGTCGCTATTCATAATAAGAAATAAGGGTCGCTATTCATAATATGAAATGAGGGTTGCTATTCATAATACGAAATGAGGGTCGCTATTCATAATAAGAAATGAGGGTCGCTATTCATAATAGGAGTAGAGGGTTGCTATTCATAATACGAACTGAGGGTCGCTATTCATAATAAGAAATGAGGGTCGCTATTCATAATAGGAGTAGAGGGTTGCTATTCATAATACGAAATGAGGGTCGCTATTCATAACACGAAATTAGGGTCGCTATTCATAAAAAAGAAATGAGGGTCGCTATTCATAATAGGAGTAGACGGTCGCTATTCATGATACGAAATGAGGTTCGCTATTCATAATACGACCCCCCCCCCCCCTCCTCGGCTACGTTCCTGGTCCTGTAGGGGGGGCGATATATAGCCCTGAATAGTTGTCTCTTTTTAAAGTAACTACATGTATATTTTATCTGTTATCTTTGATAATTATATAGAGCCAACCCCCGCTCATGTGGTGACGAAAAAAAAGTAAAACATAACACACATGTAATCCTATCGTAAATTTTCCTCCTTGTTGGAAATCTTGCCCCACCACCCTGCCCCCGACTGATCTTATCCAGGCTACGCCACTGAAATATTAAGTACGCCAAGCAGGCCCATTATCCATTTTAGCTTGCTATTTAAGAAACTAGTAATTGTTTATACGACAATAATGTTTTTGTAGAAAGTAATTTTTATTAGGACTTATGGACCTACAAATTACTGAGCGGAATTGGACCTGACAATTGGACCTAAGCCCAGTATCTACCGATCCCCCGAGCCCCCCCCCCCATCAGTACGCCCCGGTGCGGATCCAGAATTTTCCAATTGGGGGGGGGGGGGGGGACGGAAATTTGAAAAATGCGCAGACCGTTTTTTCAACTCAACATACCAATACTGACAAGGTCATATTAGAAGCACGATACGGGTACCTAGAAGCAGGAACAATTTTGGAAAGGGGTGCAAGCTCACTTCACGTCTCTTGTCCGATATCAACATTCCCCGTTTTTAAGATATACATTTTTTTGACATTTTCATCGGGGGGGGGGGGGGGGGGGGGGGCTAAAGCCTCTTGCCCGAAAAGGTAATTTTCTAGTTCACAATTCTGCTTGTGAGCGAAACGAGCGAGCAAAAATTTGAGCATTATATGTTTTTTGTGAAAGTGTTATTTATCACCAAGATAAACGAGAAAAGATATCAAAAATTCATATTCGGGCAGCTTGCTGTCCCCCCCCCCCCTCCCCTCCCCCACCCATTACGCGCGAAAGCTTTGAACTTTCATTAATTATCAAAGCTAAAATGTAAATTATTTTTTAAAAATACACAATACAGGGGATGCAACCGTTTACATAATGTCTTACGGTAAAAAAAAAATCGTATCTGATTCTGAGTATCCAATTTCCTTACTTATATGGAAAATATGTCGTGCGACATTGTATATTTACGAAAAGCTTGAATATGGTATTTAACTTAAGTCCCTACAACCCCCTCTCTGTCGCTTTCTTTCTTTGCTGAGGATAAGATACATGATAGATCAACCCCTTGAAGGCAACACTGATACAACCCCACCACCCTCACCCTTAAACACACACAGGCTACGCCATCTATGAACTACTTGGACGA